ATCCGTGCCACCGTTTTTGTATATGGCAGATGGTATATCATTTATCTCACAACTAACCTTAGCTTTTAATGTCTTTACCGATGATGCTATATTTTGTATATTAAAGTTGATTTCACCTAAACTATAGTTATTTTCGCAGGTTATGTCGAGAATTAGGGAGGGATGCGCTTTGTTGCCATTGGAAAACCACTGGCTGAGGAGTTCAGTGATAATCTGAGGATCATCATAAATCCCACCTTCTTGTTCCAACGGCCTAACACTGTTGCCTTTACCCCTTCTGAGTCGTTTTTACAAGATCTTGCAGAGTTCCTGAGTTTTGGACTTGCCTCCTAGGGCTTTATTTTCCTCGAGTTGTGCCTTCATTTTATGTCTCTCCTCAAAAGTTTCATTTATCTGGTGTAATGCACTAAATTCCTTCAAAACATAAAATTTCCTTTCCACTTTCCCTAGATTTAATCACATTTTGCGGCCTATGAATAGATTTGGTGTCTTTAGAGCAGATTTTAGGGGAGCCATTGTGTCTCTTTCCAGACCAACTGTCTTGTAAAAGATGTTAAGTTACTATTGGTAAATTATTCATCCCAGTCAGAGCTCCTCAAGAGCAGTGGTGGGAATTCCCAGTCGGCACTTCAATAAACCCTATATTGATAGTAAACTGGGAATTTTCAGGGGTGTGTTTAGTTTTTAGTTGAAGAGGCAGGGTGCAGTACAGTATGTTGCGATCACTGTTATCGATTTCATACTCGACCGCCATCGCGGTTGGCTTTATTTTGTGACAGAGGATTAGATCAAGAATATTGTTATGTTGCGTTGGGAGGTGCACGCACTGCTTCCATTCTCCAGCATCTTTAGCTTCTAGGCGTTCTTCTTGGATTCTAGGTCCAGTGAACGTACCCAGTTCACTCCAGGGAGGTTGAAATCCCCACAAATTACTTTATAGTCGAATTCCAGCGTGAGCACATTCCTTAATACTTCTCCAATAGTCGTATCAGTTGTTTAAGGGCTAATAGTGGCTCTGGATATGCATCTCATGAGAATTTTACTTTCATTTGTGTGGAGGCCAATCCACTAAGATTCTGGGAGTTATCCCACAGCTGGGCTAGTAAAAGTGTTGGAGTCTGTGAATTTAGAAGCATATATTAGACACTCATCTCCTCTTCTGTCAATTCTATCATTCCTGTAGGCGTCGTGGTTACCAGTTACCAGTCTTGCGTCATGTATATCAGTAGTTAACCAGGCATCAGTTAGCAAGATTAGTGTAGGCCATTTGGTTTATACCAGGCTGCGAAGTGAACATATTTTAGGGTGAGATCGAACATTTAGGAACATAATTTTCAGTAAACCATAGATGTTGAGGAAATAGTTAGTAATTTTCCTTGTAACTACCCCTAACTCTTGGTTGCCTATGTTGTCTTCGTGGAGTTGTGAGGTGAGACAGGGTCAGAGTGTCTCCTGTCCCCTGAATGAACTGTGCACCGATGGGGGCCATTGTTTGCTGCAGCCAAAAATGATCCTCTTGTTTACATAGGTTTTTAGCATCAGCAGGTGGGTATCTGAAATCATTTCTTTGCGTTATGTAGTTTGTTTCGCTGTTCAAATTGTAATTTACAGGGCCTAAATGCCCTTCTGTTAGATTGTCTTGGGGGTTGTACATGCCAGGTCTTTCGTAGTCACACATATGTCGACTCATCTCTTCCCTGTAAGTGGAGGGGCTGTGAGCTGACGTATATCCGTCATGTTGATAGGGTTTTCCATAACTACTGTGAGTTCGAATATAAATTTTCATTCATAGTGGTGCTCGTCTGGTTTCTCATATGTTCTCATAATTCATTTTGGGTCCGGTTCTCAAATGATGTGTCCCTCTAGACATATTACAATTTCCTCTTTTATGGAAGTGGTGGATCTCCGTCTACTGTTTATTCAGTTTTGCGTCCCATGAGTGTCTGCTAACTCTTGGTTTTGTGGGGATAGACTTATATTTACTGTCAGCCCTCGCCTCACATGATCGACTGACCACACTCTGGTTGGTACTCCTAGTTTGGAAGAAAGCAGTCTTACTCACGTATCCCGTCTCTTTATTGGGGTTTACCGTAATGCATGCATAGATTTTCTCTAGGTTGACACGCTGGTTTTCAGGCTTACAGCGAGGGAGAATTCACTTCGCTTTTACGTGTCGTTTCCCTACCTGATATTATGCAAGTATCGCCCCATGCTTCAGTGTCTTTCAATACTTTATTACTGACACCAGATATGTTTTGGGATATGACCGTGTTTGTATCCAAGGTGTTCTTGGCTACTTGTCGTTGGTTGGTTTTTCTCCAAAGCTATTTTAACATTCTTGAATTCTGAAGAAGCCAAAATATCCCCAGATTTCCTAGATTGTTCGATTATTATTTATATTTATATTTTTTATATTTTATTATAGCTTGATTCCACACAGTATTTTCGAACAGGTATGGAATTTTCAGCATGTGATATCGGTAGCCCAAATTTTGCAGGCCCACCATTGATATCAGGTGTGCATCGGCGAGGGATCGAACCTCGGACCATATGCATGGTCGGCGAGAGTCCTAAGCGCTGTGCCGCCGAAGCTGCCAGATCTGAATAGTATTCGAGACTTGAGTTTTAGGGGCTGAAATTATCCCGCATGCTTAAGGTCATTGATGGAGTGAGACGCTCAAAGGTCATTTTCGTCCATGTTAGTCGGTTATGTTGGATTGCAGTTCCGTAGCCGTTCGTTTACACATTGGTTTTACGTTCTGTTGGCATTTATAGGTGATTCCCATGCACTGATAGCATTCTTTTGTAAAATAGTACTGTTCTTCACACGAAAATAGCCACATTTTGACGTAGTCTTCATTGAATGACACTATGTCTAAAGCTGCAGCTTATACAAGAAATAAACTGTTTGTGTAGATGACATTACCCCCCAACTACCCCATCTTCTTCATTGTAGACGCATTCAGCATGAAACACTAATCATTACAACCAATATGCTAAGTGTGTCGCAGTCAGATTAAATGACGCGGACACCAACATACCTAGCCAGGAAATGAGAATTCCTATCAGTCCAGAAAACATATAACAAAATTTTATTAAAAAATTATTGACAAAATAAATTTGCCAAGCGAAATTTCAACCAAAATGCCGGATAAGTCCAGCCGTTTTAGGTCCTGTTTTAATTGGCCGAATACACTGATAGAGTGTACTTAGGACGTTCTCAGCCTTGTTTGTCTGGTATACTGTACACAGTGATATTGTGTTTAGATGCTAGTCTTCTAACAACTTCGCTCGGCGGGAAGTTCGTGGTATCCTCTCACTCTTTTGCACTTTAAGGGTCAGCTTAAGTTAATTCAGACCTTATATCGAAGAATTTTAGGATAGTAAGATCATCCAGCTCCTTTTGGATATACGAGATAGTTTCAGGTATGCATGTCATTTATGATTCAGATTCAGTTAAAGAGTCCTATCTTTTCTGACAGAATATCTCTCACCTATGTTATGGGGCTCAGCAATATGTTCGCGACGTTTACACTGGGTGAACTAGTAATAATGGCTTGTTCACGGGATGAGGATAAGTTATTAGAAGAGTGTATGTTGTTTTCTAAGTTAGTGGTGTTCCTACGAACTTGCTTCTTGGGGTTTCAGCTCATTATTATTAAACATTATACATTAGAAGGCAGTTGATGAGTGCCAGTGAAAACACGTGCAAAAGTGTCGCTAAATTCGGAGGCTCCACGATATATGAATAATGGCAATGCACGTCTTAAATCTCGAACTCTTTTTCGTTTATGCATTTACTAAAACTACAATACACCTGATCTGTCTTAACGCTGGATCCGTAATTTTAGCTGTATCCTTTTCTTCCCCCATCTCCTATCAAATTTCTACCTCGCATTACCACTGCTACTAACTTGACTTTCGCTCAAATTTATTTAAAATCTACTCACTCCTCCCAATTATATTATGTCACTCAATTTACTTATTTAGTTTATTTTAGTTTCTACCCGAATAACGGTTTTTTTAATTAGGTAATTTGCTACCTAAAATTTGCAGTCTCAAAAGTGCATCTCTGGATATATACCTTTTGTGGCCAAGAAAATTTACTGTATACATGCGATTGTATGGCTTGGAAATGATATCACTGAAAGGGGCGAGTCTTCACTGAACGTCTTTCCTTTTTTCAAGTATTAGTTTTTGTAGGGATTGTGTTTGATTGGCTGGAGTATTTCACCATTAGCTGACATCAGTAAGAGAACCATCGGAAGGCCTTGGAGTACTGGACAGCTGTTTCGCCCTGGTTTGGGGCTCTTCATCAGTACGCACCTGCTGGGGCTCGAACCCATGACCTTCTGGTTACAGGGCGAGCTGGTTCTTACACCATTAGGCCACTGAGACCCTTTTATATTCCTTTATATTGTATTCATCGAGTAAAGTACAATGAACTGTAACGACATCAAACGGGGTATCTGGTCATACGTAGGTCAGGTATGTAGAACAAATGAGTTAGTTTAAGGCTAACGACTGGTTGAGGCAAGGATGGATTAGTGGGGTTTGAGTCTACTACCAGGGTTATGTTAAGCAAAGATTAAGGTTTGAAGACGAAACTTACCCTTGGCCATGGATTGCTGCAAGCTCTTTTCTGATGACCACAGTTTAACGGTCAGGAGAACGAAATCACCAATAACCTTGACACTCAAATGTGGAGCCAATTAGTGAAATCTGAACAGAACGCTGTATTCGTAGGAAGATAATGAAAAATTGTGCAAATATCAAACGGGACCAAAGGTGTTTAGTATCAGATTAGAGTCAGCTAAAGGAAAGATTAAGGTAAGTGTCAAACATAGGTCCCCAATTCGCATTTTGGAACCAGTGGGTCGTTCCAAGACCATTTGTTAACCCTCTTTTATTGCTATTCTTCAACTCTGAAAGAATTCCAAATGGTAGAAACCAAATGCACTTCTATCAAGCTTAATTGACATTTGTTACTGAATCAGTACTTTTAGCGGAAAAACGTTTTGTTGCGCTACATGGTGTCGAGCCGCATTGCAGGTGTTTTGATTTTTGGTGTTGGGTTTCTGTGTGGTTACTATTTTCATATTCTGCACGTGAGATACCTTCGCCAGAAACAAAGTTTCTTCCAAAATCGTCTCAAAGACGTCGAGGAGAAGCTCAAAAATATTTGATATCCTAATTTTCATTGCGTTAAAAGACTAGTTAGTATAAGTCTGTTGATGTCTTCGGCTACAAAAGAAGATCTGTATGGAGTCTCATGGTCAAACCCTGCATGGAGTCACTTCCTTTGCTCAGCAAACGTCCTGGATTACTTTTGTGACCTTTCAAATCCTTTCTACGATAGACAATGTAATAATGAAGTCATTCGAATGCAACGGCTTCATCCTGAACAGCTTTTGTGTATGACTGGCGTTGAGTTCTACCTTCACCACGCACAAGTAAGTTGGGCAATTATATAGCGTAAATGATTTGCTAAACACTGTACAGACAAAGTTTACTTTATTTTAGTTTGCATACCTTGGTTTTTGCTTTGAAGCTTCCTCAGCACTGTAAACACCTTTTACTCAAAGATGAAGCCACAGAAAGTTATTTGTGTTAATAATGAAATTAAGATTTACTGGTTTCAATCACTGAAGTAAAGATGTCATTCTAGGTACCTAAATAGAAATAACATATTGTGTATTAGTAAGCATTTTATGAAGTTTCCCTGTCAATGTGTGCATTCATTGTACATATAACTTAGAGTACATAAGTGGTCTTCTTGTTTAGATACATCGGCATGATGCAGTCTTCTAAACACCGTGGGAGAAGTCTGGTTGTTTGCCATATACATCTCCTACGAAACTGGCTTACACTATTACTCCACTTCTACTTCCTATGTTTTTCCTAAAGTGGGCCACCTTAAGGTATTGTGTTTCTGTGCATAGCTCTGTGACTATGTGTCAGTCAATTAGCATCGTTTAGGGTCTAAGATGTTTGAAATATTTGCTTACCATAAATAACAGGGTGTTATGAATCATCTGATTATTTTCTAAAGTTATTGTCACAACCCTTACAAAATTCGGGAACTTTTACATGTCTGAGTGTCCAAGTTGGTTCATGAGTGAGAAAATACACACTTACTTACTTGACTACAAGTAAAAATATTGTCGATAATGGTGGTGATTAAAAACATGTCATCAGCAAAAATTGATAATTGGGAAATAATAGTAGATTTAAAATTGGAATATTTGCATCCAAATAGAGTAAGGTGTAGTTGTATTTCAACGATTGTTGTCGTTTCAGATAGATTTCATCCACTTTTCAATCATTTATATTGACTATCACTCGATTTTTGACAAGCGTGTATACGACACCAGTTCAAAACCTTGCGGATTGTCTCCGATATTATTTCATTTCAAATAACGCTTTGTTGTAAATATCTTGTATGAGTGTTTGCGACTTGTTTCAACTACCTCACGCAATATAAGTTCACAGCTCCAACAGGTTTTTTTATTGAATGTTCGCAAGAATATAATGTCAGTCCTTAAAACCTGTGGAGGCTTCTGTAAAAAGGTGCTATAAAACCACTGATGATACCACATAAGAGGTAGTTGTAGCCGCAGCTACTTTTATGATGTGGTTACTAAGTACTACTCCTTATTTCTACGTTTTCTATCCCATATATTTTTTCGGCTGTTGCTTTATAAACTGTCGTGGGGTGAGATTTGAACCCTTAAGCTGATGACTAAAAGTTGTATATTTAAGTCAGTGAGTGAGTCAAACTGTTGTAGCTGGGTTCGATGAATCGTTGTTTCAGACCATAGTTTATTGATAAGTACATCATTGATATACTTCTCTCAGAGTTTGTATTGAGACATAATTGTGCAACAATTAAAACTGCCTTTTCTTTCGAATTCTGTGAGAGACTTGTCAGGCAACATCTTGACTACAGCGAGTTGTTATTCTGTAGCTTAGTTTTTTTAAATTAATACTCCGAAATTGTTAAAAATAAAGCTACTAAGCGGTTATAAATCCTGAACTGATAGCTGAAAATTGAAAAGTGGATCACGTTAAATAGCTGTTTGCTCCTAGACAATGCACACGCGTGTCTGAAACCCTGTCTTGAGCCTTGTGAATGTATCGTGGAATTGTAACCTGAAATTTCATTTCATGATGAATCTGGTGTTATCATCGGTAGACGTGGCTCCTTATCTTTGATTTGTTTTCAACTGTTCATAGAGAGGTCATTTAATCTTAAAGCAATCCACTCCATTTATTTGAATATGTGAGCTTCTTGGGCCTATCTAACTAATAAGTTCTAATCAGTATACCGTACTTCATTAGAATTAATAACCATTTTGTATAGATATCAGTATTAACACGGCAATGTGGTTCATGTCATACAATCAATTTTGGTTCTAATTAAAATAAATCCCATCGTAAAGATTAACTCATTTCATAGTACCCGAGTGTGTAATTGCCGGTTTCCCTTTAGAATTTACACTGCACTTGTCACACTGAATACTTTCTAATTTGTGTGACTTTTCAAAGGATTTTATATCACGATGTTGCTTCTGATAACTTATTCTTTTGTCACGTGTCCTCAGTCGGTTTTAAAGCTTATATACCGTACAGATTTCCTTGGGGAGGGAGGGGCTTATAAACTCGAATTTCCTTGCAGTTTCCAAATGGTCTTTTCGCTAAGATTTGTGAAAAATATTCCTTGCATTTATCACCTCTGCATAGCGTACTGCTAATAACAAAATACAGTTAGTGGGTGACAGTCATAAAGAATTTTAGTTACATTTTTCCTCCTCAATGCTCACCAGTAAATTATGTCTCCGGCGTCTCGAGGAAGTAGGATTCTTAAAAGAACGACGATGTACAAATGAAGTACTCTAATTTTAAGTGGTTACTAACGCTCATTGATCTAAGGCCCTGCTCAAAATCATAATAATGGTGCACTATGTGGGTTGTTTCATGCCATCAGTTTTGGAAGGCATTTCTGTCTTTATGAAGCGAGAAATACACACTTTATGTCGTGCTAGTTATTATTAGTTACAAGGGTAGTAGTCAAAATCATCGTTTATAAGTTGTTTGTTTTATTTTTCAATAGGAACCTATACTGTTCATAATTCGAAAGCAACAGCGTTTATCTCCCACCCAAGTCACTCCTTTGAGTTATTACTATGTGATTAATGGAACAGTACTTCAGGCTCCAGATCTTTCCACGCTTTTGAATTCTCGTTTAATGACAACAGTTGTTGGCTTGAAGAAAGTAATCCAGGTAACACTTCTAACTATTTTTAAAATTTATTTTATTTCTTTATACGTATCTTCCTATTTTCTTGGGCAATTCTTCAAGTTGCTTAGTTTAGTTGTTGTATTTCTGGCATAAGATCAAGTTATGCGAATTAACGCGTAAAACGTTTTTAATGATACATAGTGAAGTTACTTGCAGTAATTGTTTGATGCATAACAATGACCACATCAACTCTAATGCCAAAGAAAATGTCAGGGTGTGTACAAAAAGCATAGTTATCGTTTTACGAAGTAGGATTGCTAGTTTCACGCCCAACATGCCCTCGTTACCTGATGTTTTTATCGGCTAAGCGAGGTAAACGAGTGCATCGACCGGGAATCGGACCCCAGATCACATGCGTGTTTGGCGAGGATTCTATCGCTGCACTACTGACGCTATAAATATGATAATATCGAGGAGTATCAACAGAAAAATCAGACATAATACTAACAATAAGTCAAAACTACTGAAGGGAATAGTTAAAACAAAAGCAGAGCTCAGTTATCCCCGTGTATCACTTTGCATAACAAACAAATGAATTCCCGCTGATATGTAGCAGAAACGATACCTAAAGTTAGTTCGTACTTTGGTCAAAAGTACATCACCCGACGTACTCATACTTCCAAGTAAACAGATTCTAATTGTAAGCATTCAGCAATGATATTGCCAAATTAATTTTAAGTAGATTAAAGTTCCCAATCAAGTTATATGAATGGGAGGAGTTCAGAGAAGAGTTACTCTTTTCAGCGATATAATTCTCAAGCTACCCAACTGTATATATTAATATATTTTCATAGAAACAAAAAGGAATGTCTCCAACGATGTGTCGTTAAATTTGTTTTATACAGCAATAGGTAGGGCGTCGAGTGCTAGGTAAGGTGGGGGAAATCAATAGACGAGACTGTGAAATTACATCGACTGAGATGGTTAGGACATGTGCTACGTATGCCTAGTCATCGCCTTCCTCGACCTACGGGCAATGTTAGCTGATATAGGGTCAGGCTGGGAAAGAGCTAGCGGCGGTCAAACGAAAACATGGCACCAGTCAATGAAATCCACAACAGTTAGTCTAAGCCACGTAGGAAGGTGTAGACTTCCTGGTTGGAGTCCTCGGGACGGTAAAAACCAATGGTTGGAAACAATTGGTGACATGGCTCCAAATCGTTCTCAGTGGCTGGCTCAGATGCATCCACTCCTTGTGACTTATGATTTCCAATGAAACTGTTTTGTTCTTCGTTATTACTATTCCTTTGTCTCACACCTCTGTTTACTGTCTCTAATATGCATTTCTCCTACTTTCTTCTCTTGCTTTGTGTGCTACAAGGAGGGAGTGTGGTGACTTGAACTGCCGCACATATGTGCAAAGTTCTATGTCGAAAACCGACCGACCGATACAACAATAGCATAATATAGAAAAGGATTAATCGGGTGGAAACTAAAATATAACTAAATAACTCAGTTGAGTTACATTACATAATAAGCAGGATTGAGTTGAGGTCAAACAAAACTCAAATAGAGCTAAGCTAAGACCAGTGTCATAATAATGGGGGGAGGGCGAGAGAAGTAATATAACAACAAAAAAAGCTAAAAAGAATTACGATTAACAAAAGTTACATGCCAAGTGTTTGGACAAATTAAGTCCATTGTGGGTTTAGTTACTTAGCGAACTTCTCTATGCAGAGCCCAGGATTTAACATGTAGATTGTCAATGCTTCTTCAGTTTGAAGAAGTTTCATTTGTACCCCATTGCGAAGAATTCTGTGTACTCTGTAGATGACTTTGAAGTTGGTTTGCGAGTCCACTCGTTGTCCAGAATCGACCAGGGGTTCCAGAATAGAACTGCGGGAATCTTTTCCCTCAGTAAACCCATAAGGATAAATTTTCAATGATACGTTTGGATAACAAACACTGAGCACTGTCGACATAACTAGCTCCACAGGAGCAAGTGAATTAATAGATACACATTAATGATGCCAGTAGTGATAGCTTATCCTTCACGTTCATACGAATCATTGGTTTTGTCCAGAAAGTAAATCGAAGTGTAGCTGTGAGGGTTTTCTTGAATGAATCTAACAAACGACTTCTTAGTATTTCTACCGACGAGTCTCCGTCGAATTGCATATTCAAATAGTTTTTTGAAGACAGAAGTGTGTGTGGCTTTGGCTATGAAAGTTTCATGGATTTTGTGATGAAGCGTCAAGGGCATTCATTCTCGATGAAAACCCTCTATAGAGTGCTCAGCTCCTCTTCCATGGTGTCAAGGCTATAAATGTTACAGATTCTGTGACTCCTTAAGTGGGTCAAGTCTTGTTTTGACTGTAAAGGCACTCAACTGTAGAAGTTTGTCAGTTGTCTGTTCCGTGTCGGCTTTCTGTGGATGGAGGATCTTTTCAGTGTTCCATTGTCACACCTTGTCAGTTGGGCATCCAGGAAGGATATTTCTGAATCAGTCTGCTTCTCTTATGTAAATTGAACTGCAGGGTGGCAGCAGTTGAAAAAAATCTAGAATATCTTCCAAATTCTCTTCATTATTGGAGATAATGAAACTATCACCCACTTATCTCTCTTAGAACGCAAAGTTGTCGATCATTTTCCTTAAATATGTCTTTCCGAGCTTCGATGTCAGGAAATCTGCAAGCGATGGACCTAGTAGGGAACTCATAGCTGTTCTGTCTTTTTGTCTATATATTTCATTACTGAAAGAGAATTGGACATCTGTGGTGGATCTCAATAGTCCTTTCAATGTTTAATCCACTTGAATCATCATGTTTACATACGTATTGTATTGTTCCAGCCACGTTCGTAAGTAATAAAACTGCATCTAGTGAGAGCATGATTTGGTTAGAACAGCTGACGTTTCTAATAGAATTAACAAAGTTAGGGGAATCTCGGAATAAGTGACAAGAAACTTGCCTTCGGATTAGTTCCAGCAGGTTTACTAACCATTGGGCAGTGCGGTGACAAGACGAATTCATTATGTCAAGAATAGAACGAAGAGGCATGTCTCTCGTGTGTACTTATGGCAATCGATACAGTTGGGGTATACTTGAGTTGGAAGGCCTCAGGGGTTCAAAGATTTTGGCGTCTTATTTTTTTTCACAGATCCGTCTTGTAAATTTGAATTCATCAGATAGGATAGTTAGCGTTTCACTGATATAGTCCTCACGATTCTTGGGTACAATTTCCGCAGCTTTATCAGAGCGTATCTACATAATCTTCCTATTGCTAGAAGAAGGGAAGAACGAACACGCTTTCAGGATAATATGAGCTCGTTTTATTTCGCGGATTCTTGTCAACTGCATACAACCCAAACAATATAAGTTACAAAAAGTCTGAACATACTTTTGTCACAGTGAAGTCGAGTTATTTGTAGGAAGTATAAGCAAAACAATTCCGGGATGGTGTAAGAAGACAAATTATTATTCAGTATTAAAAAGGCCTCATATTTACAATACAATTCGACAAGAAGAGGAAGCAGAGTTCAAATTTCGCATATAAACAAGAATTGACTAGTGGCAGAATACAAAGCTGAACAGCAAAATGAATTTATATATAATACGATGGAAAGTTCAAGACAGTGGGTGCGAAAAGTAAAATAATGACATACAAAACAAACACTTAAGTAAATTTGGAAACTTAATAGCCAGTTCAAGTTAGTAAGGGAAAATCAAAATTAGGTAAAGTGTTACGCAATAGAACAAAGCAATTACAGTTACCATGGTAATGAGAAGTTAATGATATTATCCTTTAGTGTATACAAAGGCGTTGAAATCTTTTGATAGCAATGGCTTCTGCGAAATAAAGTAACCAAAGTTTTCTTTGTGTATTGGTTATTTTGAAAGCTTGATTAATTTCAATTGTATGTCCCGCATCAATCATTTGTCTAGAGATTTCACTTAAGAACGATTTGCTACCTAGCATACGAAGACTTGTAGGGATAGGGACAAGCTCAAAAAATCTAATAGACACTCTCCTCTCAGTTCTTCATGATGCAAGTGCAAAGAAATTGGTAAATGCGGCTGGAGTTGACATGAGCAGGACGCTTAATCTACTTTTCACTGAACTACTGAGTATATCGTGTTGCAAAGCGGAATCAGTTTGGTAGCGGAAAATATTCTCTTCAATGCACCCTTGAGACTTCTGAACACCTTTGCTTTTTGGAAGTTTTTAAGCTACTTGATATTACATTGGTAATGTTAGTAGTAAATGCTTGAAAATAAAATCTTATTTGTATGATTAAGATGACAGATATGTTTTTACTTGAGTATCCCAAATTAATGAAATACTTGAAGTTTGCGCTTAGGAGCTTCTTTCAATTTTATGCTACATTTCAATGTAAGCAGTCGAAACTTTTGCTCAAGCGTAGTGCTGTCTTCGTTTGTTTTAAACTTAAACATGCTGTTTAATTTAAATTACTAAGAGAAGAGAAGCATGAAGAAGATAATGGAACATTTTGTAACAACAGAAGACAAGGGCCAGGCAACAGAACGTTTATTAAGGAAAATCAACACATATTTATAGATTTTAATGTACATTATTGTAGATTATTGTTAGTAGAAAATGCAGTCTTTTGATTGGTTGTTTCTCACGGAAAGTGAACCTTGCATCTCTTTGTGGCTGTGTCAGATCATCCATATGCTAACTGAATCCGCCTACGTAAAGCCTTTGTTCTCATTTTCTCACCACCAGCAATATTGGGGACATAAACATTGACGTCAGTTACTGTCTACCAATTTTGGCTAGCAGCCAGCTCTCACCACAATTTTACTTGATAGAGTCAGTGGTATTACTTAATTCATTCGTATTAGTCTGACTGACTGACTGACTGGGCTCAACATAGAACTTCGCACCGATGTGCAGCAGTTCGAGTTGCCATACTTCATGTCGCACACAAGCAAGAGAAGACAGTAAAAAGAAATGCAAAATAGAGACAGTAAACAGAAATGTGAAGCAAAAAGAATAGTTATATCGAAGAACAATATAGTTTTATTGGGCATTATTAGTCACAAGGAGTGGATGCGTCTACGCCAGCCATTGAGAACGATTTTGAGCCATATCACCGATTGTCTCCAGCCTTCATTGGTTTTTACCATCCCGAGGACCCCAACCAGCTAAGCAGTCTACACCTCCCTACGTGGTTAGCTGGAACTAACTGATGAGGCCATGTTTTGGTTTGACCGCCACTGGCTCTTTTCCAACCTGATCCATCCTAAGTCAGCTAACATTGCCCGTCGGGGAAGGCGTATTAGTGTTGTAGTACTAATTGACCTTTATCAATCAAAGTACCAGTGAAGTAGATGATATTGTTTCTGAACAGCTATAACGAACTGCTTTAGTACGTTATGTATCTTAGTGTGTACTATGTCCGCAGAGTTTCATTTCTGTCATATAAATGTCAACAGAACATTTATAAACTGAACTACCACTCTAATTCTCTGCATAGTATAGTACTTAGGCAGCTGAATGTGTTATTGATATAAGAATAGAACTTGTGCACTGTGGTGGTAGAGTATAATTCCATTGTGGGTAAAATTTATTTTTTGATAAAGTCTCACAGTGTTATACAGTAATATTTACTGATGACATATCGAGCACAACTTATTGCTCATAATCATATCAAGGTACTCACACAACTTTCTTGCTTCGTTTATACCCAATGGAACTGAATGTGTTGTTGTGTGCTATTTGCAGCATTTCATTGAATGTGCAGATTATCTTTATCGTATTCTATTATAGTACTAACTATTTTTACCGTCAGTATTCTCTGTATTCATGCTTTATCCCCTGATATATTTGGTTGTGAAACTGTCTCCAGAATTGCAAAGAATCCTTCATACATTTCTTTACTTTCTTCAATTCTAGATTGATCTTTTTTTGTATGTATAATTCGTCAGTTTAACTGTACAAACATTGTTTTATTTGTAGATGCTTCTTCCCTGTGCTCGATATCATCCTTCAGATGGTTCATATTCCTGGGATGATCCTAATGTTTTACTCGGGTGTAATACAGAATCAGATCAAGCTTATTCGAAGCCTCAATCAACTTTACGCGCTGAAAAAGAACTGTCTAAACCTGCAACTCTGTTTCAAGTTCAGAGAACAGATGCTCTGCTTGCTGAATGGATGAATCGCTTTCCTGCTCCATCAGCAAATTTCATTCAAAGTGTTGTCAATTCTGGACAAACACCGTCTGCAACAACAGCTGTCTCTTCAGCTAGTGGTGGCAGTGGAGTTACTCCCGTTCCGTCGGCTCAAACAGTAAGATGTTGTTGTTGGTTTTTTTTAATTCAGTGACTGATCACAATATGCATTACTACACTTTGAAAATACTGTAAACTCCAAGTTGCCTGGAGTTCTAGCGAGAGAGAAGTCGTGATCAGTGAGGTCCATGCGATAGGGAGTGAGGACAAATACTCGCTGATGACATTGGTTGGTGGTCGCGCTAAAACCACGAATGGATAAGAGTTAGAATTAATGGGCTGGCCATTGAGCCGGGTCCTAGTAGCTGAATGGTCTACAAGATTGACTTGGAACCGGAAGGTTATAGTTTCGAAATCCTGATGGAGTGTACCGATGAAGAGTCCCGAACTAGAACGAAACAGCTGTCCAGTATTCACTTGTTTTCAATGGTTCAAACTTGAAACTCCCATGTCCTGTTTCACCACTGAATTGTCAATATATATATTAAACAGGGTTGTCATTTGCAGTGAAAACAACCAGTAGAGTGCATGAATGATACTCTGCCTCACTGTTTTTATCTGATTTTGTTATAGGTCTACTAATGCAGGGGGCTCTGTCAGGTTTCGACATTTACGGAAAGATCGCGTTGATTTATAATACGTAGACCATATAAGGAAGGAAAGTGTCAATTATACAATGCTATGCACCGACCAACAACGCAGACCTCGAAACGAAAGAAGAATTCTACAGACAACTGCAGACAACAATGGACAACACTCCAGCTGGTGACATCAAAATACTAATGGGAGACATAAACGCCAAACTGGGATCAGATAACACAGGAAGGGAACTCATCATGGGTAGAGAAGCTCTCGGAGAAATGAATGAAAACGGAGAACTCTTCGCCGACTTCTGCGCCTTCAATGAACTAGTGATTGGTGGCAGCGTGTGCAAACACAAGGATATCCACAAGGCTACATGGGTGTCACCAGATGGGCGAACCAAAAACCAAATCGACTTCATCTCAATCTCAAGGAAGTGGAGGCGCAGCCTGCTGGACACAAAAGTAAGAAGAGGAGCAGACATTAGCTCAGACCACTATCTCGTACAAGGGACAATCCAAATCAAATTAAAAGCTTCCAGAGAATCAGGGGCTGCAGATAGACCACAAGCCAAGTTCAACACTCAAAAACTGAAGGACCAGGACACAAAGGATATCTTCACTGCAAGTATAAAAGACAAAGCCGAGACACAAATCAACACTGGCGAAGAGGTCAGCGTCGAAAAGCACTGGAACAACTTGAAGACAGTGTGGAGTCAAACCTGCATGGAAGTTCTAGGCAGAAAGAAGAGACAGGACAAACAATGGCTCACTACGGACACTTGGAAACTAATAGAAGAGAGAGGGATGGTGAAACAAAAGATTCTCCAGTGCACCGATGAGCAACAAAAACAGGATTTGAATGCAAGCTACAAAACACTGAACAAAAGAGTAAAGAAGAGTGCCAGAGAAGACAAAAGAAAGTACTATGAAACCATGGCAAGTGAGGCAGAACAAGCTGCAGGCAAAGGAGACCTCGCAACACTCTACCAAACTACTAGGTACCTATCGGGCAAACGTTTGACACAAATCAAGCCGGTGAAGGATGACAATGGAAAGTCACTCACCAAAGAAGTGGAGCAAAGGAAACACTGGGCTGAACACTTCAAAAGACTCCTAAATCGACCACCACCTACAACGCGCCCAGCAATACCAACAACGGAGACAGAGCTACCAGTGAACACCAACCCCCCGACGAAATCAGAAGTCCTGAAGGCAATCAAGATGCTAAAAGCTGGAAAAGCAGCAGGACCAGATGGAATCCCAGCAGAAGCATTGAAAACGGACCCAGAGACAACAGCGGACTTGATGACGCCACTACTGGAGAAGGTGTGGAAAGAAGGCAAAGTACCCGAGGATTGGAAGAAAGGATACTTATTCAAACTACCAAAGAAAGGAGACCTAAGTCAATGCAAGAACTGGCGCGGAATTATGCTCCTGTCCATCCCAAGCAAAATACTAAGCCGCATCATCCTGGAGAGAATCAAACATGCCCTGGATGAAAAACTTCGACCGGAACAGGCTGGATTCAGAAGAAACAAGTCATGCATTGATCAGATCGCCACACTACGGATCATCATTGAACAAAGCTTGGAATGGCAGTCACCTCTCTATCTCAACTTCATCGACTTTGAAAAGGCCTTCAGTAGACAGCGTCGATCGAGAGGTGATTTGGCAACTACTTCGCTACTACGGGATGCCACCGACAATTATACATCTCATCCAACAGCTATACGACAATGCTGCATGCCAAGTAATCCACAATGGGAAACTTACGGAACCCTTCGAAGTGAGGACAGGAGTAAGACAAGCTGGCTGCCTACTATCGCCAATGATTTTCTTGATTGCAGTAGACTGGATAATGCGACAAACAGTGGGCAATGAGGAAACAGGCATAAAATGGACACACAAAAAAAACTTGGAGGATCTGGACTTCGCCGATGATATATGTCTGATTTCCCACAAACTGGAAGATATGCAAGCGAAAAGCAACAAGTTAGCAGAAGAAGCATCCAGAGAAGATAGAACTTCAGGTGAACATAGATAAAACAGAGGTGATGAAAATTCCTGGGCAACACCACCAACAGCAACAACAACTGACAACAATCACAGCATAAATGGGAGGAACCTGAAAGAAACAACCTCCTTTACCTAACTACCTGGGAAGCATCGTTTCAACTACAGGCGGAACTGACGAGGATATCAAAGCAAGAATCGGAAAAGCAAGACAAGCTTTCACTACTCTCAAGTCTGTGTGGAGGTCAACAACACTCAGCATCAAAAATAAGATCCGGATTTTCAACTCCAATGTGAAGTCAGTCAGTGCTACTATACGGATCAGAGACTTGCACTGCGCGTCATAAAGAGCATCTCAAACAAACTACAGACCTTCATTAACAGTTGTCTTCGCTCAATACTCAAGATCAGATGGCCGGCCAGAAAAGATCAGCAACAGAGATCTCTGGCAATGAGCGAACCAACACAGCAGGAACCGATTGTGAAACAAATAGGCAGGAAGAAATGGAGATGGATTGGCCATACTTTGAGGAACAACCATCAAGTGACATCACTAGACAAGCCATTGCTCGAGTGGAACCCGAAAGGGAAGCGGCGAGTTGGTCGTCAGTGCAAGGGTGACTTGGAGGAGGTCATGTGAAGAGGAGATGAAAGCGTGTGGGCAGACTTGGAGCCAGGTGAAGACTCTAGCAGAGAACAGAACGCAATGGAGACGCACGGCTGAAGCCCTATGTTCCTGTAGGAATTAAAGGATACAATAATATTATAATAATAAGACCATATAAGCTTTTCAGATGAAGACACTGACAAAGTGCAGTTTTCTGTGCACTCTGGGCAGAATTGTGCGTGGATTTGAAGTGCAGTTCCTACCTCGTCAGTGTAAGATAATGTTGATTCATCAGTCAGTCGATAAAATCTCCCAGAGCTTATTGCCTTTTTCATAAATAATATCTTGTCGTCAATACTGTTTCTTTCTTTAATTATTTTTCTCTTTTAATTTTAGGCAATAAAAGAAGAAACTCCGCAAGCCAGTTCAAATTCTCCTGCTAAACTCCCTACAAAGTTGCCTACACTACCCGGTGTTTCAGTTGTCCCTGGACCTCCACAGAACACTTCAGTACAGTCTTCACATCCCGTAGATAAAAAGCCTCGTGTTTAAAAATGCAGTCACAATGTAAACAACACTATATTTCGGGAGAGACAATTTTTATTTTCAAACCTACAATTTTGTCTGATAGAGAAGGTTATCTTTCTCATTTTTTTGCTAGTCAATACAGTTTTTTATTCATTCTATGGAAACTCGTTAGAAGTTAAGCAAAATAGGGAGTTTTAACTGGAATTCGATTTCTTGACGATTCTGTGGTTGGAAAATTGGTCGCACTTCAGAGATTCTGTGAACAAGAAAACTTCAGATTCAAATTTCTAGGCGTATTGAACTCACTTCTCTCTTCTCTGAGCTTATAGTACTTGAATTTCTCTGTATATTTTATCACCTAGTGAAAAACAAAGTAGATTTCTACACAAATTGCAGTTATATAGCAGGCAATGATGTTGTGCTAATAGTTTTTCCACGATTATGACTTTAAGGCTACCTATTTTAATTGTAATATATAAGAGTAAACAAGTGGTAATCACTGTATCTTGTACGATATATCTGGCCATCTAGTACGATTAAATTGTCATGGTATTTGCAGGACGATTGACGTGGAAAGTTTTGTCATTAGACTTATACTACTTACTACTAGCAAGTAGGCAGGTTATAAATGGGAATTTCTTCGGGCATATGATTACCTTATTACATGAATATACTACGATGACGATATTCATATATTTTGATGCGTATTGCAATCTTCACATTATGTCCTGTGAATGGCTCGTGATAGACAAACACTACTGGTTTAAAACATGTAACAATGGTTAATAAAGCAGAATTTAATGAATTCATCAAATTTTGGTAGAACTCTTCAGCTGAATACTCTACATAGGGGATATATGTATATACATACTACTGAAAATACACTAGGAGATAAAAGACTGATAAGCAAATAAACTACATTGAATTAATCATGCTAAACGACACGTGTGAATGTTTTTCATGTCATGTTCAAATAGATAAGGGAAGAGAGTATGAGAAATTAAAATAAAGGTAAAATGCATTACGCTTCAATTGCATCACCTAGATAAACAATTAGTCATTAGAGAATATATCAAGAATTGCGAACTGAGTAATATTAATGGCAATAGTTGTAATAATATTGCTGAAGTGACTTAAGTTAATGTTATTGATAAAAGATAGTTTTAAATGAATCAAGAATAATAATGAGGTAGAATAAGGTGTTTGTAATGTTAATAATAATTACAGTTAATAAGTAAAACGTATTACCATGGTAGATTCAGAGTGACGACCATCTCCTTTTGTACACAGAGACCTCGTCTATAGACCTGAATTGCACAATCCTCTGCAATTGTAAACATCTTGTTTCTTAGTCTGCTGACAATAGTGAATAACTTGACAGCGTCGATATCATTTGAGTAGTAGCTGACTACTTATATCAATCAATCAGTAATATATAACATAATGCTTTTATGTTTGCTTTTTAATTATTATTTATGGTGTCTAGTGGATCACATACTGTGATCTGAATAATTCTGGTTTCCAAAAGGAACTGTGGTGAAATGTTTCGTGAAGGACTCTTGAGGGACAATAACTTACAGTTTGTTTTGGTTTTCGGGTTCCCGCTTTAAACCTTACAAATTCTCGGGTTCATTTCGATGAAGTTGGTGTACTATATTCTCTCAGTGTATACGTGTGGTATGTGCTACTGATGAGATTTATAAGTAGTATGTAGGTGTAGATTTACATACGTGTATCGTCTGCAAAAATATCGAATACCTCACAGATGAATTTAATGGCGAAGAGAATCTTAGTCATTTTTGTTAGGCTTTAAGAATTTATTTCATATTTACTCGATGGATTTGTCTTATTGCATCTATTAGGTAGATCCCATGATGGTCATGTCAAATTTATTTTCCCTAATGTGAAAAGAATCGATATGGGAAGTTCATTTATTTGCCTCATACTGTACTATAGACGCTGGCAAAATGCAGAATTTTCTGAACACCTTAAGCTGCAATCTGCGAATGTTTGACATGCGATTCGCTCCCGCCAAATGTAAGATGATGTTACAGGACTGGACTACATTGACTCCTACCTTAGAAATAGTGAGTGAAGTGGTAGAGCACGTTGACCGATTTACTTATTTGGGAAGTTGCATCAGCCAGTGCTAGCGGGTTGATCGCTGACGAAATCGCAGAACGGATACAGAGGGCTAGTTCCGCATATTCCAGTTTACGCCGCCTCTGGAGTAGACGTAACATCTGGCTATCGACTAAAGGGCGGGTGCACTGCTCAGCAGTCCACTTTGTCCTCCTTTATGGCTGTGAAACCTGGCCATTGAGAGCAGAAGACATGAAGAGATTAGCTGCCTTCGATCATAGGTGCCTGCGTTCTATCTCCCGCGTGAAGTGGTATAATAAGGTGAGCAATATTGAGGTTAGGCGTCGAGTGCTAGGTAAGGCGGGGAAATCAGTCGACGAAACTGTGAAATTACATCGACTGAGATGGTTAGGACATGTGTTACATATGCCTAGCCATCGCCTTCCTCAACCTACGGGCAATGTTAGCTGATATAGGGCCAGACTGGAAAAGAGCTAGCGGCGGTCAAACCAAAACATGGCACCAGTCAATGAAATCCACAACAGTTAGTTTAAGCCAGCCACGTAGGAAGATGCAGACTTCCTGGTTGGGGTCCTCGGGACGGTAAAAACCAATGAAGGCTGGATACAATTGGTGGTATGTCTCAAAATCGTTTTCAATGACTGGCGCAGATGCATCCACTCCTTGTGACCTATAATTTCCAATAAAACTATTCTTTTTGCCTCATATATCTGTTTTGCATTTCTTTTTACTTTCTTCTCTGGCTTTGTGTGCTGAGTGAAGTGTGGCGACTCGAACTGCTGCACATCGGCGCAAAGTTCTATGTTGAAACCAGTCAGTGCAGACTGGTACTGTAGCATCAGCTTACATTCGACAGGGGCGAATCACATGCCGAAAATTAGAAGGTTTCTGCTTAAGATGTTCATAAGACTATATTTTATCAATGTCTCCACCTAGGAGGACATTATCATCAGTATACCTAAGCCCGCAAAACTTCCTTGGAGAGAAGTCAATCCCTAACTCGCTAAAGTCAGTCAATGTCATTAGTACATCTATGATGAAATTAAACAAAAATGGGGACAGTAGACATCCCTGATGGAAACTGCTAGTTTTCATGACTTCACATGAAAAATCTCCATAACCTCTTACCTGGTTACATCAGTTTGAGTGGAATTCCTTGATTAGTGTGACGCACTTTCTCGATGCGGAACTGACGAGGATATCAAGGCAAGCTTTCATTACTCTAAAGTCTGTGTGGAGGTCAACAGCACTCAAAATGAACAATAAGATCCGGATTTTCAACTCCAATGTGAAGTCAGTGCTACTTACTATTCGGATCAGAGACTTGGTGCCTCGTCATGGAGGGCACTTCAAACAAACTATAGACCTTCATCAACAGCTGTCTTAGCTCAATACTCAAGATCAGATGGCCAGCCAGAAAAGATCAGCAACAGGGAGGGATCTCTGGGAGCGAACGAACCAACCCAACAGGAACCGGTTGTGCAACAAATATGCAGGAAGAAATGCAGGTGGGTTGTGTCCATATTCTGAGACAACAAACTATCAAGTGACACCACACGCCAGGCGATCGCTCGATTGGAATCCGAACGGGAAGCCACGACTTGGTCATCATTGCGAGGGTGACATGGAGGAGGTGATGTGAAGAGGAGATGAAAGCATGTGTGCAGACGTGGGGCCAAGTGATGAAAACGTTGTCAGAGAACCGAATGAAATGGAAACGTTTGTCTGAATCCCTATGTTCCTCTAGGAACTAAAGGAAACAATAATACTTTCTCGATACTCCATTCACAGCCAAACATTCGGGATTTATTGTTATCCTTAGTTCCAATCAATTATTTCTTGTCATAGAGGAAAAAGCCATGTTCAAACCTTTAACTTAATAATTTATATACTTCTTTGTATTGCTCAGTTTATTTATAGCCAGTTGAGAAGAATCCTCAAAATAATAAAAGTCGAGCTCATATTATCTTGGTACATTTGTCCTTCCTGCTTTTGTTTTTTCAAAACTTTCTCACAATATACAAACAAGTATGGGAATTAATTTTTATGAGCAATGATACCATGACCCTATGATAAGGTTGTAATCATTTCAAACAGATTTAAGGAAAGGTTATTTTTCAGCAACAACAACAAAAAACCAAAAGTTTATTGATTTCAGGATGAGGAGAGAATAAAAGAATACTACTGAGATTCGCATAAGATTATTATATTACGATTATAACACCCAATGCCCAGAAGTTTATCACAAGATAATCTAACGTTGTGTGTGTGTATGTTTTGGCGTATACGCGCTCTGCCAATATTATGATACCATCTGTTCCTGAGATGAACAAGAAGGAGAAGCAGGAAGAAAAAAACAAATCAGAACAGTTTATTCAGTGATTTGTGTGACAGTCAGCACTTCGTGTAGATGTGTTTCAACGTGAATAGAGTTATATATATTCGCTATTCACGTGTCACGAGATAACTAAAATTACTTAATAAGAAAAGGTAAAAGTGAAAATTTTTAAAAAATAAATAAAAACACAGAATCAGATAGAATGAACAGATGTAACAGGGCGAAAAAGAAATTCTTTATTCTTTCTCTTCTTTAAACAATAAAAGTTGCAAGAAAGGGGGAGAGAGAGAACAGTCTACTGATGATGTATTGTGATAAGTAATAATAAAAATGATGTGAGTAAGGAATAGAACGAGTTGAACACGAATAGAAAGTAACACGACTACTGTCGTCCCTATCTTCTATCTACCAATATGATATAAGCAAGTCTAGTGCTGTTTAAAAGGGACGTATAGTAGTATTTGTTGATTATAGTGTGAATTCAATGTGACACTTATTAGAATGTTATAAACACTGACTTTCAGCTCAATATTAGTAAGATTGCTTGTAGAATAAAATTTCAGCTTATATGTATATTTGTTTGAGTCTACCTAATAACGGTGATTGGACTTTCAAATTTTAAGCTTCAACAGTAATAAAGTGTTTGTTGATTACTAGTCTCACTCGACGAGACAAATGAATTATGTAACTGACCTAGATGTGTCCCGTATGGTGCTTTACAACAATATTCCAGTCCATTTTGATTTTCCTGTGGATTGGTTGGACTGAGGTGTTCGGCCTCTGTTGAAATGTCGGCTCCTAGTACGGACGCTCCAATAACGTCTGAGGATTAAGATGAAGTGATTTGATGGATGTTGACTAACAGTGGAATCCGAGATGATGAGCATTTCATCCTATTTGGGACTTGTCAATTGAACGTACCTGCATTCTCCAGTGAGTGACAGTGTCCCCATTCAGAGTCGATTCCAGCACGCATTGTTCCAAACGCCAAGGCTTTACCTACTAGACCACTTGGGTTGAAGAGTCCCAAGTAGGACGAAACGCGCTTCCTGGATTCCACCAAGTTACTTTAGAGCAACACTATATGGAAAAGTATATACCCGGCAAGCCATATAGAGT